GGCCGCGTCCCGCCGCAGCGCAGGGGCTCGGTGCGGGGCAGAGGTTTATTGGGGGTTATTGCTGGTGCTGGAGACCGGGACCAGAACCGGAGCCGGGACCCGGCCCCTCCACCTCTGCGCTGCAGCGCCAGCCCCCCGGCAGCCTCCTGCCGGGAAGAGGACACACCAAGGCCACGAGGTGACAGTCACAGGTTGTGCCTGGGAGCAGCCCAGCTCCGTGCAGGCCATCAGGTGAGTTGCTGGTGCTCCTCGGTGCCGAGGAAGAGGCAGTTGACTTCATCTGCCTGCCATCCGCGAGCAGGAAGCAAAGATGGAGAAAAAGCTGTAGCAAAGGACAGAGCCAAGAAGTAGAAGTGTCACAGGTGGCATCACAAGTTCGTCGCCACCACCTTCCTCCTTCATTTCTGCCTTCTAGGTGCTTGTTTTGGTCTTCCTGAGCCCTCGAAGAAACATCCTCAGGCTCCAAAGGGGAGCTGCTCTGAAGGTAACTGCATTAAAGTCCTCAGGAAAGCACAGAATGGAAGATGCTTCCTAGCAAAAGGAGAGGACAATGAGGGCAGCACCCTGCCCAGAGAAGGGGGGACAACCTTCCTTGGCAAGGTGCAATATGAATCCTTCAGTCTCTCCCAAAACAACTGTCCAGGAATCTTGCCTGTACAGAGTCAAGGCAGTCACCTCTGGAGTGCTGTGAAAGAAGTCCTGGTCCTGAAACGGCCAATACTGGAAAGATTTAGTAGGAGTCTGTGATTTTGGTTCCCTTTTTGGTTTTGTCATAGCAGAATGCAGTATAATCCTGACTTTTTCCTCCTTCCAGCTCAGCACCCGTGATCTGAGAGAGGCTCTCCATAGAGATACCCTTTCTCTTATATCCACTTGGACTGACACAAAGTGACTCTTTCCATTGCAGGGCTAGGAAGAGACCATTCACATGACAAGCAGGAGATGCCATCAGAATTCCTTCCTAACCCAAGGGCTGGAATATAGAAACCAGAAGGAAGAAAATGATCTGTGTTAAACTGCGTTCACCAAAGTCATCACCTAGGCCACAACGGGAATAGGCTTCGCACAAGGCATCTAAGAGAAGAGGGACCCTAAGGAAGCACACAAAGTAGGGACAAGAGTCCAGAAGTCCCAGACTTTTTGGGTTGCAATCAACTCTCTGCCAGTGCCAGGTGACCCTCTCATAAGGATTTTTTTCTGCAGCAAGCCTCTCTGGGCAAAGACTCCCTAAGTTGGCAAAGCAAACAACTCCAGTTAGAAACTATCCTAGGCTGCTACTGCTGCCTGCCTGCAAGCCCTGCTATGTTTTTACTGCAGTTTTCCTTTTCTTATTGCTCAACAAACTATACATTCACCTGTGGGAAAGCAATCAATTCCATGATTTCCTCTCATCATTACTGACAAAGCAATGGCTATTTCAGACAGGAATCCACTTGCCTAAGGCATCAAATGCCCAATTTCCATTGAGACGCCTTCTCCCCCGGGTAGCCGCACTCTGCAGAGAGGCATCTAGACGGCGCGCGCAGCCTCACGCGCTCACACTGCGCCCTGGCCCGTGCAGGCCGCTTGCACAAGGTGGTTTTTGCCAGCAGAGTCATTTCTGCTGCTCACTCTGGCGCCAGTGAATTTTCCTGGTAAGTAGCTGTGCTCAGATAGCACAGACATCCATAGAAAGCAGATAGGAATTGTCACAGTCATAAGAAAGAGCCAGAGGAGGTTGCTTCATACCAAAAAATGAGACAGAAGTAACATTTCAAGGCACCTGGGTTTATGCTACACACAATTTCAGCTCAGCATCCTAAAATCTGCCAGGAAATAGTGAGCAGCCTCTTCAGACACTTTTATCCTGAGCATCTCCCAACAGTTTAGGATGGAAACCCCCCTTCTGGGCAGTTCTGCCTTATCATGAGGCAGAACTTAGAGCAAAACAAAAGTTTCCCCCTGCAGAGGCACGGCACGAGGCCTTCTGAAGACAACCACAGCAAGAGGCCACTTGAGCTCCACCTTACAGCAGCTTCACTAATTCTGAAGTCACCAAACAAGGTTGCTCAAGTGCCTGTGGGGCTGCTGGAGGGGATGCATGGCAGCAAAATCACTCATCTTTCAGCCACGCAGACCTTGCCCCTCCACATTCCCAAGACATTTGCTGTGGCTGCTCATGATTAATGCTCCTTCCCAAACGGGTCATTTGTTGTGGCTAATCCTAATCAAACACCCTTCCCAAGAGCTGGAGATTCTTTCATGGCTGCCACCCCGCAAACTCTCACTGTTCACGACGATGCTCTGTGCCAAAGCTAACCTCACTGCCTGGCAGTGGCTTCGCACGGCCGTGCTGCGTGAGCAGGCTCCGGGCTGCGAAGTCCACCCCATCTACTTCTCCTAGGGCACATTCTACTCTGATCCTTACTTAATACAACAGCTAAGCAAGTCTATCCCCCAAGAGCTAGGTTTCAACTCTGTTGGGGAATGGGTGGAATTAATGCTAGCAAATGTCGCTAATCTAGACACAAGCTGATGCTCGTTTACCATAATCGTGACTGAGCAGCCCGGTGAGGGAAAAGGAAAAATGACAGTCACCAGAGCCTGCTGGGTAATACACCCTTTGGTCTAACGTGCAGCTAACTCAGTGGAAAAACATCCTAAACCATAAATAAGCAGGCAAAGCTGTGATGGGAACTTGAATAATTCACACTTTTTGGTCATAAGAATCCCACTCCAGAACACCAGCTGAGCAATTTGACCTGCACAGCTTTTAGCTAATATATTACAGCTGAGGTAAAACAGAGCAAGTGAGCTGGTAACACCATCTCTCCCTCCAGAGATGGGTCATTCAGGTCCAAAAGGTTTAAAGATATACAAAGAAGGAAGCCTAGGAAGCTCCGCTTCCCACACATTCTTAGGTGAATTTCCACCTTCTCCCTCTTTCCTCCAAGGGATGGACACCCCACTGCAGCTAGACTGACAGCTGCAGCTAGACTGACTGGCAGCTGCCAGCCCAAAGACATTCTTTCTTTAACAAGAGCCCCAAATCCTACACATAGGAAGCAGGAGAAAAGGTGAACAAAGTGAGATTAACTTCAGCTCTAAAGTTGACCCCACGCTCCATAATCAAGAATTTACTCACATGAGCCAAAATAGCATTTCTATTGACTCCAGGTTGAGTCAATGACTAACCTGGATTAACTCCATTTTTCTTTTATCTTGCATTTCTAGTGAAATCCCTGGTAAATACAGATAAAGCAATTGCCAGGAGCAGTTCAGGCTCCTGGAAGCAGAAGGAAGATTCCTGCACTACTCAGAACCTCAATTAGTCTCTTATTTTAACTTTCCAAAAGGGAATATAAAGATGCACCCTACAAAGCAAACCTAGCCATGCTACAGACTAAAGCACTATGCGATGATAGGTTATCTATCCACCTGGGCTAGGGATCTGCTCTTCAGGCTTTGCTGGCTAATTGAAAGGGGCAATTTTTCCTGCTAAGAAACAGCTTACTGAAACAATCTGACCTCTTGTAAGAGCGTAGTCAGTCACTTGACTGGTAAAACACCTGAAGCACTACAAGTGCAAACTAACCAGAGGAAAAAAAAAAAAAAAAAAGAAACAGCAATAATTTTCTAGCAGAGCCTCCAATCCATAACCTAACTGAGGTACCAGAAGGTATCCAGGAATGGAGAAAGACAGAGGCAAGGTACATGGGAATGTTGGATAGGGAAGCGCTGTAGGGAGATTTCCTCTACTTTCATGAGCTGCCTTCTTTTCTTCATGTTTTCAGTCTCACACGAGGAGAAGAGGTTTGGCAAGAAGCCTTGCTGCATAGGACAGTAACTCCGGTCCCCCTCTGGATATCCGGAATGGTTTGCAGTAGCACAGCATCCAACGGACGTGTAACAGTTACTGTCCTCCATTGTAAGCATAGTCGGCCTTGTTGTGCATGATCAACTTGTTGTCCACAAAGTAAAAGCTGTCTGAGCGCGTCTCGTAGGGATTCTCGACCATCAGACGGACTGTGAAAGAGAAAGCTCCATTATGCTCAAGCCCAAACAGCTGCCACACTCCACTGGACAGCACAAAGTCAGAGGAAAAAGGAGCCTGCCGCTTTGCTGGATTTACAAGGCTGATGCTCTGCCCTTGCTAAGCAAGGGAATCCAACTGCTCTACTGAGTGCAGTTCAAAAGCTCCGTCCTGCCCTTCCTATTCTCAAGACAAAGGCGAAAAAGCAGAGAGGGAGAATTCTCGCAGGTGACAGCGAGAAGCTGCGCAAGCCCCCACGGGAGCAGAGCTGCTGTCGTGTGCAAGGCCGCAGAGAAGTGGCCATTGACCGACACAGACCGAGACACAGCCTGCACGTCCACACCTCCTCCCCCATCAGCAGCCGGGCCCACATCCTCCTGCTCCAGCCACCGCTTAAGGTCACGCGTAGCAGGAGTCGCACGTAACTGCAGAGATCTTGGTAGGCTCAGACACCCGTCCCTCAAAGGGCCACGGCTGTTCCAGAGCAGCAGTGTCCAGCTCTGACAAGCAAGTGCTGAAGACACACAGGTGGCTACTGAGAGCATTTTTTTTTCAGGGTTTTGTTATCGTCTGGACTTCTACACTGTTAGGCATGTCCCGAGCAGCCCTTCTCGCAGTCTGTGCCTTAACACAGGTTCTTTTCAAAGACAGAGAATTTGCAGCACAAAGATGTGACTCCAACACAAGACTGCATGTGGCTGAAACCAGAAACCAGCATCTACCTCTTCTTATCCTTTTTCCCTAGTAACGACTGTTTCTCCACAAGCAGAGAGATGGAGAAGGAGAAAAGTAAAAATAAAGCAGGTACTTACTGAGGTCTTCTGAAAGCTGAGGGAATTCATAGATGTGTTCGCATGTGTTCCTGCTACTGGGGATGCAGAACCCAAAATCAAAGTCAAAGTTCTTCAGCAAGCGATCTCGGAAGTAATGTCTCTCAATCATTCGGAAGTTTGACACTGGCTTTTCTCCCACTGTGAATTCCACGCTGCAGGCAAAAAGCGGGAAAATACACCGTAAGACCACCTGCCTCCTTCCTATTGGGAAGGACAGAGCCTTGGACATGAGGCTACATGAGAACTCAGCAAATCATCCAGAAAGAGTTTGATATTTGTATCGTAAAATGGAGTCTCTCTAATCCCTCACTCAATTCAGTTAGAAACTAGTAAGTGACTTTTGGTAAAAAACAGTTTTGTCCCTTTCTGTGAACTCTTACTCACGTTGCACCAACAGTCCGAAGACGGAGAAATGCCGGGGTGAACTGGTAACGAACAAAGCGGCCTGCACTGGCATCTAGCTCACTGTTATCATCTTCATCTTCTTCATCTTGCTCTAGAAAATGCAACGACCCAGAGTTATTCTGCTAACAGCTTAGCGTACATCTAACAAGTGTATCAGGACAAGCTGGCTATCACTTGGGCAATGAACATAAAGGTGTCTAAGAATTAGTCTGGGACTCTGTGGCACTAAGAAATAAATATATAATGAAAATTATGTGAGATTTGACACAGCTTTGGTAGCTCTCGTGCAGAAACTCCCTTCTCAGCCTCACAGGCAGCCAAAGCACTTGGAAAACAGCCAGCGAACAAGGGGAAAATTGCAGTTGATTGCATCCCCCCTTCCCACTATAGTCACTTCAGTGCTTTTATCACAGACCTGGGAAGTTTCTCAGGAAAGGAGAACTCAGTCCCACACAGAAAGCAGAGGGGTTCAGCCCCCAGGACATGGTGCAAGACCTCTCTGCTTGGTCTGCACGGCTCCTTCGCTGCAGCTCCCTGCTCTCAGCGCCTCTCCAGCCTCTCCGCAACTTTCGTGGCACTCACCTGAAGCAGATGGCTTTGCAATTTCAAAAAGCACCGTTCCAGTTTCGAGGTCACGAATCTTGAATCTGGTGAAGTCGATATCATAAATATTGTCTTCTGGTTTGCACAAATAACCTAGGAGAGGAGGAAAACCACATAGCAAGACATCTCAGAGCAGCTTTCGAATTAGTTTCCTGTTAGTCCAAACCCACCCTACAAGCCGTTCTGCAGTGGTCTCGGCAGAGGGGAGAGCACAGAAGGGAGCGCAGAGGCACAGCGAGCCCGGCAGCAAGGCAGGAAAGGGGGAGCGGAGCAGGACACGGAGCTGCCTGTTCCTAAAGATCCCGCGAAGCTCGAGGAGGGAGGCCCGGGGAAGCCGCGGCCACCTCG